AAGTTAGAAACTACAGGTAGGATATCCCATTGTCTGTCTGCCTGTTCTGGGTCAAATCTACTGCCACAAATTGGGAATGCTGCATCATAGAAAATGAATCATGCAAGGGATCTTTAAAACATAAAGATCTCCAATTTCTCAACATAATCCTGGTTATGGAATAAAAGTGTCTACTCTCTAGGTAAGGGGGTCAAACTCAAGGCCCAGGGGCCAGATCTGGCCCATGGGGTACTTACATCTGGCCCATGAGGCTGCCCTGGAAACAGCGGACAGGCCCGAGGTGTTTCTGCCAGTGAAGGGGCTCCCGAGCTCCGTTTTCTGCTGCCACGGCCTTCTGCAACCCTCTGCCAGTGAAAACGAAGTTGTGCTAGAGTTGTCAGGGTTGTGTTTGACCTCAGGGGGGTGGGCGTGATGAGGGTGGGCGTAGCCAGCTCTACGTCACTCCTGTTGGGGGCACCTGTGGTGGCCCGAGTGCTTCTGCCAGCGAAAACGGGCTCCTGAGCTCCGGTTTAGACTGCCACGGCCTCCTGCAACCCTCTGCCAGTGAAAACGGATTGCACATACCTCCAGAGCTCCATTTTCACTGGCAGAGAGTTGCAGGAGGCCGTGGCAGCCGAAACCGGAGCTCGGGAGCCCGTTTTCACGGGAAGAGCACTCGGGCCACCACAGGTGCCCCCGACAGGAGTGACGTAGAGCTGGCTATGCCCACCACCCCCTGAGGTCAAGCACAACCCTGATGCGGCCCTCAATGAAATAGAATTTGACACTCCTGCTCTAGGTGTATTTTTTTTTATTATCTATATAATACAGAATGCCACAAAGCTGTCCTGAGCTGTTGTTTTTTCCATTTAATTCTAATGAAAATGTCATAAGCATCCTTTTTAAAAAAATCCTTAAAACAGAAAATGAGTCATCTGTTCAACTGTTGTTTTTCACCTCACTTGTGCTTTCACACTTCACATTACTTCAACTTACAAAGCTTGAGAATAAGCTTCCCCCCCCCCC